CACTTGGGCTGGACCTTCTGGGAGAGGGGAAGGGAACCTGGGAGGAGGGTTGAGGGTCAAGTTATGAAGGTTTCTGGATGAGAGCCTGAATCTCTTGGGGAATTTTCTTCGTAGGCCATCTGAAAAGATTCTGCCGTCAAGGTTGGGTTAAACATTTGTGAGGGCTCCATTGGTGTTGTGCTGAGGAAAAATTACTCCAGAATAGGCCAGAAAAAAAAATGTAGTTCTGAAAAAAAGCCTAAAACTCCGAAGTCCAATAAATGGTGGTGAAATAAGGCAACCTAAAAATTTAGGCCTGGTTTCCTTTTAAACTACAGAGAAACCTAGAGTCCACGCTATTTGAATACTAAAGATGCAATCTTATCTGAGGTTTTGAAGTAAGGAAACAAAATTCACAATTCTAAATGCTCACTTGATGTAAGCATTTAGAAGGGCTGTGGATGTATCTCAAATCCTAGAGCACAAGCCTAGCAAACGCAAGGCCCTGAGTTCAATCCCCAGGACCACTGAAACAAAACCAAAGAACCGTATATATTTAGAAACACCCCACACCACATAATTCTAATAGGAGTTATCCAATTAAATTCTAAACTTAAGCCAAGAGTGGTGGTACATGCCTGTAATCCCAGAACCTTGGAGACAGAGGCAGGAATCATGTGTTAAAGGCTAGCCTGGGATACATAGTAAGGTAGTGTCTGCAAAACATAATTTTTTGGCTGGTGGAGTGACTTAAGTGGTAGACTGCTTACCTAGCAAGCATAAGGCCCTGAGTTTAAACCCCAGTAACACACACACAAAAACAACAACAAAACAAACAAAAAAACCCCATATATATATATATATATATAGAGAGAGAGAGAGAGAGAGAGAGAGAGAGAGAGGGGGTAGGAGGTGTAGCTCAAGTGGTAGAGCCTAGCATGTGTAAGGCCCTGGGTTCAATCCCAAGTACTGAAAAAAATCCTAAACTTGAAAAGTATAAAGGGGGGCTGGCAGTGGCTTAAGTGGTAGAGTACCTGCCTAATAAGTATGAAGTCCTAAGTTCAAACCCCAGTACTGCCAAAAAATAAATAAATAAATAAATTTTAAAAAAATGGGCTGTCTACTTAGGTTGATTAACTTGTCATCTGTATATTGCCTAGTGAATTATGACAATTCACACAATCTATTTGGAAGTTTCTTCAATTAATGGTACCCTAATGCTCCTAATTCAATAATTACCCATTACGATATAGCAAAATAATTCATCTATAAACCCTGTTTGTTCTTTCTTACTCTGGCCTGAGTTTGTCTTCCTCTTCTCCCAGAGCACTGGGGAAGAAATTAGTGACTCTATTCAAAAAGATTCCAAAGATGATTTTTTTCCCCCCTGGGGCTTGAACTCAGTGCCTTCACCTTGAGCCACTCGACCAGCCCTATTTTTGTAAAGGGTCTTTTGAGATAGGGTCTCACAAACTATTTGCCTTGGCTGGCTTCAAACCAAGATCCTCCTGATCTCTGAGTAGCTGGGTTTACAAGTGCTTGTTCTGAACTCAATTCTATCTGCACCCACCCATGTAATATAAATCGAACATGCTAGTCTGTTTCTCCTAATTTTATCTTCCTTGAATGTTAAGGAACAAAACAGAGGTTCTTAATATTTTATGGGTCTTGGGTATCTTTGAGAATTTGGTATTTTGGACCCTGAGATACTTCCACACTTAAGAATCCAAGAGAAAAAGGGAAGGGACTAAAATGACAAGCAACAAACAAGAACAAGAAAAATCTTACACATTATTTTATTCAATCCTCACAACTCTAAAGCTGTTGTTCTACAGAAAGAGTAAGTGAAATCATCTCTATGTCACTACACAAGTAATGGCTTGAATTAAAATTCCAATCTGACTCCAAAGTTCATGCTCTTCTCATTCCTCCATGCTGCTCATAAAAAAAGACAAAACACGAGTGTATGCTTAATACTGAAGAGGCATTCCAGATCTGACAAGTTTGACAGAATTAAGGATTATGAGAGACTGTAAAAGCCATACAATCCAATCTTCATTTTAAAGTGATTTCACCTTTCCACCAATGTTGGTGTTTCAGACAACAGAAAGCAGATGTTTTAAGAAGACAGACACTGTAGTCAGAGGGAGTTTGAATTCCAGGTTCCACATTCTATCTTGTGGCATAGCTTAATCATTTATCCCTTTTGGTGCCTTAGTCTTCTAATCTACAAAATGGGATCATAACAATTGCAACCTCTTAATAGTTGTGGTAAAAATTAAGTGAGGTAATATATGTAACCCACGTAACAGGCATACAACATTAATCATTGTCCTACTCCCCTAGGAGGCCCTACACCTCCACTGCAGTCCTGTACACCCAAATTTTTAGATTTTGAATAAATGTGCTGTTTGAAATCCTGTGCATCTAGGAGATAGAGAAAAGGATATTCATTATATTCTGAGCTTTAATATACCACTCCAAATCCTTCTATCTAGTAAGAACATAGTCCAAGTCCTAGACTACATTTTGAGTGCCCAGAAACAGTACTTGTTCTGCTTTTTACCATTCTGGGAATTAAACCTAAGACCAGGGTGTTGAACCTGTTAGCCAAGCATTTTACTGATGAACTATAACCCCAGTTCTGTTCTGCTTTTCCACATTGCTGTTATTGGGGGTGGGATCCCCCAAACCAGCGAATATGGGCCTCAGTTCTACTTTCTACTAGCTCAGTGACAAACATGAATGTAGTTCAGAGATCAATTATAAAAATGCAGGATGTACCGGGTGCTGGTACCTCCTGCCTGTAATCCTAGCTACTCAGGAGGCAAGATCAGGAGGATCCTGGTTGGAAACCTTCCCAGGCAAATAGTTCCATGAGACCTATCTCAAAAAACCCTTCACAAAAATAGGGCTGGTGGAGTGGCCCTGAGTTCAAGCCCCACTACCACAAAATAAGTAAATAAATAAACTGCAGGATGTAGTTCAAATAATATACTTGTTAAAGGAAACTGAAAGTGGCCCAGAGTACACATCTTCTTTCTGGAGTTAAAGTTGTGTGTTTCTGGAAATTACACTGTAGTTAAAAAAAAAAAAAAAGGTGGGCGCACATGGCTGTAATCCTAGCTACTTAGGAGACAGAGATCAGGGTCATGGTTGGAAGCCAGCCTGAGCAAACAGTCTGAGACCCTATCTAGGAAAAAACCATCTAGTCGAGTGGCTCAAGGTGTAGGCCCTGAGTTCAAGCCCCAGTCCCCTGCCCCCATGCTACGTTAACCAGCTGTCTATCTTCGCACAAAAAATATCTCTGAACCTCATTTTTCTCCAAATGTGCAGAGGCATATTATATACTCCTAGAGAGTTTTTTGTTTTGTTTTGCTGTTTATGGGGTTTGATCTCTGGACCACAAGCTTGATAGGCAGGCACTCTACCACTTGAGCACTCCACCAGCCCCAGAGAATTGTTTTCATGGTTAAATGAGCTAACAAAAAGCAGTCTGTGTTGAAAAGTCAGTATAAAATTAACTTCTTGGGAGGGGCTAAGTATATATCTCTATGGACTCCATGCCAACATTTCCCCAGTAGGTAAAGAAGAAAAAAAAATCCTTTTTTTTGAGTCTGTCTCTAAAAGGCTTTTCTGGCTTGACAAGAACAAGGACAAGGTGTCCTCAATCTTGTGATAGGTTTCCTCAAATGGTCTGGAGACCTTCCAATTCCAACCCGCTACTAAAAGTCAAAGTAGTTTTAAATAAAAAAAAAAAAATTTCCCCTATGTGTGATTATTTAACTATAAAATGCAAATAGCAGCTGTCCTGCCTGTTTGAAAAGTCACGTGGAAAAAAAGCAGAACCTGACAGAGCCGTAAGAGTGGCAGGGCCCCAATACCTGCTTCATGCACAAAATCCCGGGCACCTTGTTTAGAACACTGGCTCAGTCACGTTTTCAAGGACTCTGCAAGGTCTGTCGTTTAATTTCTGGCTAAAATCATGGGAGAAAACGTACCCGCCTGTTATTGAAAATTTTAAAAAGGCTAAGAAATCTCAATCAAGGGCACAGGGCTACAGAACCAAGGATGGTTCATCCACGAGGGAAAAAAACCGCATTACCTTTGATTTATGAAATGACACTTATTTCATAAATGTGAAACGTGGGCAAGCGGGGGAGGGGCGGTCGGAGAAGCGGGCCTGGCCTTTTACTTCACTGCAGACCCCGCCCCCCCCATCGTCCCGGGGAGGGGGAGGGTGTTTGAGAAGTTGGGCCCCCCGAAACCTCTGCGCTGGGGTTGCTGCAGTGACCTGTTCCACCTCTCGTAGGAGCGGAGGCGGGGCCCCGAGGCGGCCTGGCGGCGACCCCTAACCCCAAGTCCAGGTACTCCTGAAAGCGGAACCATCCTCCCCGACCTTCGGCGTCCCCTTAGCCCCAAACTGCGAAACATGGGTGCACAGAACCTGGGGGAAGGAGGTAGAAGACAGTCTCCAACACCGCGATGGGGGATGGGGAAGAGGAACAAGGATTCGGGTGGGGGAGGGGAGCAACAACCTTCGTAGCCATTTTGTCCTCTCTTCACTTCCGTCTTCTCTTCCCTATCTCCGGAGCCCAGACCCCTCCCTTCAGGCCCTGCGCTCTTCCGGCCCCGGTTCCGTAAAGCAAAAAAAATCCCAGCTACTGCTGTTATTGGTTGCCTCCAAGTGTGCCCGTCCCTTTTCCTTTTCCTCCTTCCGCCCCCTCGGAGCGCGCATGCGTGGAGCCAGACGCTCCCCCTCCCCCACCAGGAGTGACTGAGGACTCCCGCGCGCGGGCTCTCTTGGCCCCACCCTCCCTTTCCCCGGGGCCGTTCGGAGAGCGGGGGCGAGCATGAAAGTTCCAGAACGCCGCGGTGGTGCGTCATCATGAGGTAGGGCGGAAGGGGGGCGGGAGGGGGCGAGTCCAAGGAATGAATTCGGGTTTGTGATTGGGAGTTGCTGAGGTATCGGTCGCCCATTGGTTGAAGAGGCCATGATGGGCAGCCAGCTGGGGCGGGTCCCTTCTGGAAGGTTCTGAGACAGAGTATAAGAGACGGGGTGGCGGGCTGAAACCGGTCTCATTGAACGAAGTGGCAGCTCTTGGGGGTTGGGTGCAGTTTTCGCTACAAGAGCAGGGGCCTACACGCATGGTAAGACGTCTAACCTTTAACGACCTTGGTAGTTGGGGTGGAGGGTTTGAGAAGCGAGCGGGTGTGGGTGGACGCGCTAGCCCGAGTGTGCTTGCTGCCGCGCGGCTCCGAGCAGCTCCCGGTGAGCGTGCGGCGGGCTTCCGCTCGTTTCGGCCGCTTTATCTCTGCAGGTGGGGATGGGCTGTGGGCTGTGGGCTGCGGTCCGGTCCGCAGGATGAGCTGGGAGCGCGGGCGGGCCGGGCGAGGCTGGGCGGTGCCCAGGCCAGGTGTCCTCGGCGACCGCGTGGCGGGGGAGGGGTGCTGCATCCGCTTTCCGGGCAGGCGGAGCCGGCCATTTCCCCGACCCCTGTTCTGTCTGCACTTGGCTTCTTAGAGGAAGCCGGCTTTGGCACACACCCGGGGTGGAGGGGCTTCTCTGTACAGAGAAACAAAGCAGGTCGATGTGGCTGGTGAGGGGACATAGGGCTCCGCGACGCGACCACGTGCTCGTCAACGTCGCAGACCCTTCTAGATCAGGGGCAGATGGAGCATTCAGCCGGGGCGGGCGGGTTCTGCTGGGTTGGCACGGTGGCCTGGATTGTAGCATTTGCTTCTGACCTCCCTTGTTAATAGTCGGAAAGCATCTGTTTACAAGAGGCCACACCTGTAGGTATGGGTCTATATTATAAGGCTGTCTTAAGGAAACAGGTAATTAAATGCTTAACTTGTCTTTTTGTGTGTTGGCAGCAACTATGTCTAAGGGACCTGCAGTAGGCATCGATCTTGGCACCACCTACTCCTGTGTGGGTGTCTTCCAGCATGGAAAGGTGGAGATAATTGCCAATGATCAGGGGAACAGAACCACACCAAGCTATGTCGCCTTTACTGACACCGAAAGGTTGATCGGTGATGCTGCAAAGAATCAGGTTGCGATGAACCCCACCAACACAGTTTTTGGTGAGTCAGGTTTGGCACGAGTTTAAAGGGCCCAGTGAGCAGGAAGTTTTTAAAAATATGAGGCAGCAAAACCCTGATTATTCAACTATGTAATTTAAACGGTTTATCAGCCGGGCACCGGTTACTCAAACGCTTGTAATTCCAGTTTCTCCAGAGGTAGAAATCCTCTGGATCTCGCTCTGAAGTCAGTCCAAGCAAGTAGTAGAGGCACCATAGCTCTAGAAAATCCATCACATACAAGGACTGATGGTGTGGCTTAAGCATAGGCTCTGAATTCAAACCCTAGCATTGTAAAGTCGAGGGTAACCTTGTACTTCCAGAAAGTCAAGATGGACCATTGCTGTCCACACTGGTTGACTACCAATCTGAGTGTTCAGCCACCAGTGCTAGAGGAGGGGTGTGAGACTTGTGCATATCAGGCAGTGTGAGCTATACTGAGTCTGGGCTTTGTTTTTACTGGCAAGGTGTACAATGAAGATAACTTCTTTTACAGATGCCAAACGTCTGATTGGACGTAGATTTGATGATGCTGTTGTCCAGTCAGATATGAAACACTGGCCGTTCATGGTGGTGAATGATGCAGGCAGACCCAAAGTCCAAGTAGAGTACAAAGGGGAGACAAAAAGCTTCTACCCAGAGGAGGTATCATCTATGGTTCTAACAAAGATGAAGGAAATTGCAGAAGCCTATCTTGGGAAGGTAAGCTCTTTGACAGTACTAGTTTGCAGCTGTCTCCAGGGATGCATTTTGTGTTAAAATTTCCAACTAGGATTAAAGTGTAATGCTTTCAGTACTGGGATGTTGGCATGTCCACGTAGACAATTTGGTCATAGAACTGAGTTTAGTGATTTGATTGGTCTTTTTCTTGTCATTCATTCTTAAGACTGTCACCAATGCTGTGGTCACAGTGCCAGCTTACTTCAATGATTCCCAGCGTCAGGCAACAAAAGATGCTGGAACCATTGCTGGTCTCAATGTGCTTCGAATTATCAACGAGCCAACTGCTGCTGCTATTGCTTATGGCTTAGACAAGAAGGTTTGTAAATTTATTGTAGATGCTAATCTGGGTTAAGGAGTGTTTGGATCCCCAATTAGGTGTAAATGAACTTAATACAATTTTTTTTCTTACAATAGGTTGGTGCTGAAAGGAATGTGCTGATTTTTGATTTAGGAGGTGGCACTTTTGATGTGTCAATCCTCACTATTGAGGATGGGATCTTTGAGGTCAAATCTACAGCTGGAGACACCCACTTAGGTGGAGAAGACTTTGACAACAGAATGGTCAATCATTTCATTGCTGAATTCAAACGCAAGCATAAGAAGGACATCAGTGAGAACAAGAGAGCTGTCCGTCGTCTGCGTACTGCTTGTGAGCGAGCCAAGCGTACCCTCTCATCCAGCACCCAGGCCAGCATCGAGATTGATTCCCTCTATGAAGGAATTGATTTCTATACCTCTATCACCCGTGCTCGGTTTGAAGAGCTGAATGCTGACCTGTTTCGTGGCACTCTGGACCCTGTAGAAAAAGCCCTTCGAGATGCCAAACTGGACAAGTCACAGATACATGACATTGTCCTGGTGGGCGGTTCCACCCGTATCCCCAAAATTCAGAAACTTCTGCAAGATTTTTTCAATGGAAAAGAGCTAAATAAGAGCATCAACCCTGATGAAGCTGTTGCATATGGTGCAGGTAACAATCTCAATATTAAGTTTCAATTCGACAGCCTCCTTTAGAGGCCCAAATAGACTCGCTATGATGATGGATTCCAAAACCATTCGTAGTTTCCACCAGAAGTCTTGTGTTGGCCAGTTCCTTCCTTGGATGTCTGAGCGAGTAAGAGCTATAGTAGTGAAGTTAGTACTGATGGGTACATTGTGTCTTAACACTTTATTTTTTTTTTTTACTTTAGCTGTCCAGGCAGCCATCCTATCTGGAGACAAGTCTGAAAATGTTCAAGATTTGCTGCTTTTGGATGTCACTCCTCTTTCTCTGGGTATAGAAACTGCTGGTGGAGTCATGACTGTCCTTATCAAGCGCAATACTACCATTCCTACCAAGCAGACACAGACCTTCACCACATACTCTGATAACCAGCCTGGTGTGCTCATTCAGGTGTGTTCACTATTTGGGGTGGCTTAGATTACATAAAAGCAGGGAGCCTCCTCTAGAGGCCTAGATAGACTCGCTGTGATGATGGATTCCATAACCATTCGTAGTTTCCACCAGAATTTCTGTGTTGGCCACTTCCTTCCTTGGATGTCTGAGCGACTACTAGTTTTCTCCTAGATAAACAAAAGAAGTCTCTAAAATCCATTGTACTAACCTTTCTGCTCTTTCTCAAGGTGTATGAAGGTGAGCGAGCCATGACCAAGGACAACAATCTTCTTGGCAAGTTTGAACTCACAGGCATCCCTCCTGCACCCCGTGGTGTTCCTCAGATTGAAGTCACTTTTGATATTGATGCTAATGGCATCCTCAATGTTTCTGCTGTGGATAAGAGTACAGGAAAAGAGAACAAAATTACCATCACCAATGACAAGGGTATGTTATGCTACATGACATGCACTCTGCTCTTAGTCATAATTTCCTGTATTTACAGTTTATGCTGAATAGCCAAAAGTACTTATTTGTAGTGCAAATAACAGTGCATGTTTTGGTCTTTAAAGTTGTGCTCAAAGGATTTTGTAATTTCATAGGCCGCTTGAGCAAGGAGGACATTGAGCGTATGGTCCAAGAAGCAGAGAAGTACAAAGCTGAAGATGAGAAGCAGAGGGACAAGGTGTCATCCAAGAATTCGCTGGAGTCCTATGCATTCAATATGAAAGCAACTGTTGAAGATGAGAAGCTTCAGGGCAAGATCAATGATGAAGATAAACAGAAGATTCTGGATAAGTGTAACGAGATCATTAACTGGCTGGATAAAAATCAGGTTAGTTTTTTGTTGAGCAGTGGGGGTAGAACACTTCAAGCTTCAGCTGGTGTTATGGCAGGGTCACGATGATGAATGGTCCAAACATTCGCGGTTTCCACCAGAATTCAGGACTGTTGGCAATTTACCTTCCTTGGATGTCTGAGTGACCTGATTAAGGAATAGCCAATATCTTAATTTTTATAGTATAGCAGTGGGCTGTGATGGATTATATTCTTAACATGTCAGCTATTTGAAAAATCTAATTTATAATTTTTCTTTTCCTCAGACTGCAGAGAAGGAAGAATTTGAACACCAGCAGAAAGAGCTGGAGAAAGTCTGCAACCCCATCATTACCAAGCTGTACCAGAGTGCAGGAGGCATGCCAGGAGGAATGCCTGGGGGATTCCCTGGTGGGGGAGCTCCTCCTTCTGGTGGTGCTTCCTCTGGTCCCACCATTGAAGAGGTTGATTAAGTCAACCCAAATACAGGTGTAGCATTGTTCCACACAGTAAAACATTGAAGGACCCAAATTTAGCAAATTGTATAGCAGTAAAATGAGCTGCTATACTGGGCATTCTTATACTTGAATATGGAACATGTGATGCACAGGAAAGGAAGTAACATTGCACTTTATAAACACTGTATTGTAAGTGGAAAATGCAATGTCTTAAATAAAAATATTTAAAATTTGGCGCCATATAATTGGTCTGACTTACTGAATAGCTGCCTAGCTTGAAGGTAGAAGTAACTGGTGGTGGTTTTTCAACTGCAAGATGGGGTTTTTAGGAAAGGCCAGTTAAGCTAGTTAGGATGGTTGGACACATTAAAAGCTATTTGCAGAACTTAACCTAGATCACCATTTTAGGGGAGGGGAGAAACCTGCCTGGGTTAGTTGAGCCATTATGTGTTAGCAGAGAATACTGAAGTTAACTGGGCTCCACTTTGGCTTGTGGACTTCTGTCCTAAGGGAAGTTGGATGAAGGCTATTCTAAATATAATTGGATCCTTAGTGCTAAGATGCCACCTTGTGGTCAGACTTAGTTCTCACTGAATGGTACAGTAAGATGGTTTACCCCAGGCATGTAGCTCTTGTACCTCAAACTAGTTTGGGATAGTCGGTTTCACTTAAGTCCTGTTGGAAATGGCCCCACTGCTTGATAATTAGACTTTGAATTTTGCAGATGCATCAAGACAAGGTTTTGTCTAATGGAAATTTCTTCAACCTTCATCGACCCTTTAGCCCTTAAGCACATGAGGGAGCTGCAACACTTACATCAATACTGAGCTGTCTGAGGAGGTTGGATTTTTTAATAGGAATAGGTATCCCTGCTCTATTTTTTGCTATATTGTAAGGGACACGTTTGGAAGGAATGTGATGTTTACATGTAAATAACCACTATTTTAGTGGCTGAGATCTGACTGGGGTCTTGTTACTGTTTGTGGCTGAAGAATGAGACAGGTCCCAGGCTGTGCTCCAACTCTGATCTTAGTCTTTTCTCTAGTGCTGGGGTTAGGGATGTGCTACTTTGCTCAGTTTACAATTTTTAATGAGCTGGGGTAAACAATTTTGAATTCTTAAATCGATAAGACTCCACCACCACCATGGTATTTACTAAAAAGCAGGAATTACACTGAAAAAATTCCCAGTTCTAATTTGAGGTTGAATATGAATTAGAGGGGTAAGTATAGTAATGTACAACTGGGCCTGTGTAAAGAGCATGAGATTATTTTGCTAGGTTTTCTCAAACTACTTAGTCTAGATGTAACAGTGCTGGGGTTCAGACATTTGAGTAACTACACTGGGAGGACAGTCTAGCTGGTTAGACTTAACCTGTTTCCCTTAAACCATACATGAGTTGGGTTACAAACACCAATTTATCTCCATATATCGCTTCTAAGGATTCATGCTTACTGCGAGGATTTTCTTTCACACATGCACTTACTTGCAAAATCTTAATCTAGGTTGAATTGGGTCAAATTAATATTCTTTGTTACTGTTTTGTCATACTGGACTTTGGAGCACTTGAAGGTATTTGCAGCTCTAAGCAATACGGGGACCAGAAGGTCCCAGTGATTTTGTTTTGCTGTATTTCTAACTACCTTCCTGCTCTGGGCTAATTCCTGGATAAGTAAATGGGCCCTAAAACTGTTGTAGTCATGCAGAGTAGCAGGAGAGAAGTATGCAAAATTGAGGACAAAGTAGCATTACAAGATGCAAAACATACTGTAATTATTGTGGGAAAGCCTTGGAAAAAATACTAAGTTTGTAAGGAGAGGTTAAGGGAAAATGGAGAAGTTAGCTAAAGGGTCACCAATATCTACTGTTGCTGCTTAACTCCATTTGATTCCACCCTTAGAAGGGTGGTTATATAAGCTTAGAAGAGTAAACTTGCATGTAAGTTTATGCATAAACTTAGGGTGACAAAATTTTTTTTTTTTTTTGCTTATTGAGGTTGTGTGTGATTAAATGTCCTGGCTGAGGAACATTCTGGGTTGGAATTTGTTTTTCAGTTTGATTTGGTTTTTGTACAGAGGACCACTAGGTTGAGACAAGCACAAAAAAATCCATCTGTCTCCCAAGTCCAATTTTTAAAAAAGTAATTGCTGGAGTTGGGGGCATGGCTTCAAGCTGGAGCCCTAAATTGAAACTCTAGAACTATTCCCCACCCCCCCAAAAAAAAAAGTTTCTGCAGAATGTAACTTGACCTTAGCATGGCTATGCTTTAAAATGTATTTTTATTACTATGGTTCTCAAGATTAGACTTTTAAACTACTGAAGATTCATTTTTTTTTTGTAAGCCACAGCCTTTGAAGTCAATACTAAAATATTTGTATACTTAAATTGTAAACAACAAAAAAAAAGCCTTTAAACAGCCCTTTGCCCAAACAATGTTTGAGGCTCTAGGCTTTCATAGAAAAGTGACCTTTTGTTTTCTGTTAAGGTGGAATGGGGTGATTGGTAGAACTGCCAGTAGAAAAGGAGAATTTTCATTTTCTATTGGAAGTATACCTACTGGTGTAAGGACATCTTTGTCCACAAGATGGCAGTAGCTAATTATAAGGCACCAGGGCACCTGGAGGAATGTTTTTGTCAGAGGTGGTGCTTTTTGCTTGTTTCACAGATTGCCTAATCAAAAGCACGGCAAGTGATGAGTAAGGAAGTCACCACCAAATACCCACATTCATGTTCCAAGCATTTCCTGCTGAGCAATACCTTGTCTGGGGTGGGGGCGGCTGGGTAGAGTATAGCTTGAGTAGAGATTTAGGGCTGTGAGGGTACAGGGGTGGGGAATAAAGTGTTTAGGTCAGTATTTTAGATACAGTCACAGAACAGTGCAACACAATTTGGAACAATTTAATCACACCAAAACAAAATTTCATACCAAATTTTCACTTTGCCTTTTACCACCTTAGCTATAAACAATCCATCAGTCTACTTCCTGTCTCAAAATATTTGTCCATTCTGGACCTATCATATAAACAGAACCATGCAATATGTGGTGTTTTATGACAGGCTTCTTTAGCATGTTTTCAAGGATTGCCTATATTGTAGCATGTATCAGAACATATTTGGCTACAGAGCTGCCTCCCCCATTCCTACTTAATAGTTTTCAGGGCAAGGGGGACAGAAAGAAACAGATCTATTAAAGTAATTGGAAAGATGGAGGAGGAAGCACAATAAAAACCCAAAATGAGATTCCTGCTCTCAGGGAACTGAGTAATGTCTCTTGCTGTTTTTCTAAACTCTGTACTTGTTTAGTATCTCTCATGTTTCTGTCTTAACAAGCCTGCTCTACCCTTTGTAAGGAGTGTGACTTTTTTTGTGGTACTGGGGTTTGAACTCAGGACCTTCACCTTGAGCCACTGTAGCAGCCCTATTTTTGTGATGTGTTTTTTTGAGATACGGTCTAGCAAACTATTTGCCCAGGCTGGCTTCGAACTACGATCTTCCTGATCTCTGCCTCCTGAGTAGCTAGGATTACAGGTGTGAGCCATCAATGTCCAGCAAGATGTGTGACTTCAAGCAAATTTTTCTTTCTGAAACACTATCTACCAGTGAAATGGAAGCTAGAATACTCAACTGTCAGGATTGTTACAAGGATGAATGAGCCAGTGTATGGAGAGCATTTAGTTCCGAGACTGACTCAGAAGTGTTCAGTAAATGGGGATCTTATAAGCTATTATCTAAATGTTGTTAACATTTCCTAAGGATACTGTGAAAAAATACCCAAAACAATACAGCTTAAAACAACAGAAATTTGTCCTTTCAGTTCTAGAGGCTAGAAGTCTGAAATCAAGTTTCAGGCAAGGGCCGTGCTTGCTCTGAAAGTACTAGGGATGAAACTGTCCCAACTGTCCTGGCATCTGGTAGCCTCAAGTGTTCCTTGCCTCACTCCAGTCACATGCTGCCTTTTACTTTGAGTGTGTTCACGTTGTCTTTTTTCTGTGCCTGTCTGTGTATTTATCCTTTTATAAGGATACCAGTCATATTGGATAAAGGCCCACCTTGATCATTCTTTAATTTTCCAGTTATGTACATTAATTACCTCTGTAATGAGCCTACTTCCAAATAAGAAAAGTCACATTGTGAAGTCACATAGGACTTCAACATATCCTTTTTTGAGTGGGTGGGGTAGGGGGCTGTAATTCAATCCATAACAATTACATATTCTTTTGTCAATAAAGAGGGGCCACCTCCTCAGGTCTTGCACAAAAATACAAATTGAAACCTAGACAAAAATCCAAATACCTGTTCTTTAGTGAGACCAGCAAAAAGGCCTTCTAAAAGTAGTCTTTCCCTGGAGCTGCTTCCATAGTAGGCCACCAGCTGTAGATTTCATTTCTCTCCATCTTTCATCCTTCCATTGTCCCCCTGGATTCCCAAACAATACCTAATTCTATTATTTCCAGTGATTTCCCTGTGGACAGCAGTTTATTTCTGTCATCAAGCCTCTGATGAAATCTTTAGCTATGAAATGTTTAGTTCAATTCCAACAAATCGTGTATAGTGTTAGCATGGCACAAGCTGCCCATGGCCTGCATTATGTGGTAATTTGGAAGCGAGAGAAGTGATAACATAGGGCCGGGCTTCCTTTGTGAGCTCGCATTAATGCTGTAGCCTGTGATGTCAATTGACAGCCCATCGATTTGTGCTAATAGTGCATGGAGGGGACAGAATTGGGGCAAGGTATGAAATAAAGGATATCGACATCTAGTCGCCAGGATCCCGGCAGCTTTTAATCTATTATTGCCCTCTTTTAATGCAATTTCTGCGTCAATGGCATTTGCTTCCACCAGCTCTGCCTGCTGCTCTGAACTGTGAAGCCGGTGGGATGCCACCCCTAGAGTGGCTCAGAGTTCCCCAGTATTGATTCTTTCATGCTCTAGGGTGTGAATTATAATTATTTCATTAAGCCCTTTAATGGGTATCAACCATGAACCTTCTCCAGCCCAGGCTGGGGAGGCCAGGGCGAGGCCCACATCATTAATCTGTGTTCATCTCGTTGCCACCAATTGTCCTACTCTCGACCTTTATTTTTTTCTCTCTCTCCTATTATCGCGTCTAAGGTTTAGTGAGAAGCGGGTCGATCTACCCCCAGAGAGGAACTAGGAAGAGGAGTTGGCTGATTTGGGGAGACTGGAGGGGAGGCCACGGCTGAGCAGATTGCAGTGCTGGGTCTTCGCACCAAGGGACTGGC